CCACGTCCACGGTTCAACTTTGGAAATGATCATGCAGACAATGGACCACGGACTAGGTGCGTTCCAATTAGTCTTCCTACCAATATGACCATGTTGCGAAAAAAAAAATTAGGTTGCTTAAGTTGATTTCAAGGCTGATAGTTGAGTTATTATCACAGTTGCATTCCATCGAATTCCACACTCACTCAAAAGACCATCTAATCCAGGCTGGACTGCAGTTTCAATTCCGCCAAGGTTTCATCAGCACCCCCAGCGGAGTTCGAGTATCTGGGCTGCGTTTAACACACCACTACACAATCACTGTTGCTATTGTGTCACAAGGCAGATGTAGCATTCGAGGCAAGCAAGGCATCTCCCAACTCACATTTTTAATAGAGGAATTGTCGATTGATCAAACATGTGTTTGCCATTGCAATCAACTACGTTACTTAATTTTGATATAAGTAGCCATTGACATTCTTAGTAATTCTTGAATGAGAACTTATGGTGAGTTAAAAACTGATAGACGAGAGGGTCTACTGATGAACAAGGCTATGTAAAATGTAATGATGTTTTGAGTCCTTCTCATCTGATTATGGGAAAAACTCAATTAGCAGACCTTAAATCACCTTAGGCGACCTAGGCTGGCCAAGTTCTTATATAATAATTACTGATAGTCTGTAATCCTAATTAGATCAAAATTATTTTAAGTTGGATTCTTGTTGTCCTGCGGTCGCTAGGTCTTACTTTGACGTTCAGGCTAGTGTAACCCATGAGAGATAAGAGCCGAGCTCTCGTCTGTCCTGCCAGTTAACATTCAGAGTTGGAGCTCATTATTTCAAAACTTTTGAGTCGACCAGCAGTCAATAAACAAATGGGAAATAGTAAGCTACAACAACAAAAATTGAATACAAGAAGGTAGAATAGTCTGCTTGGTTCCTTTTAATGTCATTATAAATAATTTTATATTTGAATGCATGTGGGCGCATTCGAATGCACTTGCGTAATTAATTTACTTGTTGAGCTTACTCCCATTTCGAGTGAA